TTGTCGGTTTAATTATTTTTGGATCAATAGTCGGTATGGTTATCAATTTGGTATATTGGATAAAATCTATTTTTAGAATTCAGTTATAATATTTTTATTCTAAATATAATAAAACTTTGATTAATTTTCTTATTTTCATTTCGGTTGGTTATTTTCTTAGATATGTAAATATATTATAGTTAAATTATGTATAACTTAAGATATATTGTACTTAAAATGAAATAAATAATAAACTGAAGTGTTTGATTCAAAATTACATAAATGAATATAATGATAATATTTTGAAGTCTCATGCATATATATAAATTCTACAAAAAAAATAAATTGTAACTGGTAATTTTTGATGTTTCAAAAAAAAAAACTGGTAATTTTTGAATATTCATGAACATATATATTTTTATTATTTTGAATATATATTTTATGTTATTTAAAAATATATAGTAATGAGGGTATTACTATTTTGTGAACTTTCCTTTTTAATAAAGTCATAAGATATACATATATTTTCGTTTTTAAATTTGTTTTACAATTTTAGAAATATTTCCTTTTTATTATATATATTTATTGGAAAAAATGTAAAAAGGAAACTAAATAAAAAATTAATAATAATCTTAAAATTTAACAATTCATTAAGGGTATTTATGTAATCAACCATCGCAAGAGTTAATGTGAGCGCGATACGTAGGAAACTGACTTCTCAAATAATATTATAGAGATTAGCTTACACATATATGGACCATATTCACATGTTATTGTTTATAGTACACATTATAAAAACTGTTTGTTCAAACTTCAAAATGCTTATGTTAAACGTGTATTGCTACGACCAACGTACTTTATATGTATTTTGAATGCTCAACTTGTGTGTTTGTTTTTCGTTGTACATTTTGTCTTCCGAGAAATATTCTCAATAGAAGATATGACTAGCAAATTATACATGTAACGTGCATAGTGAAATTAATCATTACTAAAACCACTATATTGTTATTATATATATCATCGTGAAGTGTATAGGAACTTAAGCTTTCCAAGTTATATTAAAAAGCCTAAAGAATATTAGAAAATTCACATTCAATAAAAGTTCCTAGGCATCATATATAACAAACAAACAAAATTAACTTAAGGGACCTTTTCAAATGGAATTATACAAGCGTTTGTTAATTATGGAACTATTTTTATATATTTGAGTCAAGGGCCAAAGCAAAATTACAATCAGTGCACTGCCTTTTACTGGACTTTATCAAAAGCTAGAGAGCATTATTGTCAAGTCTTTTTTTTATAACAGCATTATTGTTAAGTCATTTCTGTCATTTTCATGCTTTTTATACCCATCTTGTTTGGCCGGTCATCAAAACCCGTTGCCAAAATAATATTAAACCGGAACATTTACATAAATTATTCTCAGAAGTGTAAGTTTCAAAATTGATTTTAATCATTTGACCTCTTCTTCTATAAAAATTGTAAACTTTATAGTTAGTTTCGATATTGACCTAAACATCTTTTGGTTAGGAAATTAATTGATGTATTTTATTCATGCGTATAAAATACATCAACTATGCTATAATATTCACATCTTAAACCGTATTTTGTATATTTTTTCTTAAGATCGATGTCGTTGACATACGGAAATATTGTTACCACGATAATCATATGACGCAATACTAAATAAACTAATAGTGTCAAGCATAGTATATATAGATATATGATCAGATTCCCCAAGCTTCTAATTTTATTATCGTTAGTGGCTTGACCATATTTCTTTTATGCCTCCTGCTTACCTATATGCCAGTTAAAATGATTTTATACACTGCTTTGCTATTATACAATTTTACAAAAAAAAGTTATTGCATAACCACAAACGGAACTGTTCTTCCTACGGATAATGTTAAATAGTATATATGTGTGTAATATTTGATGGTTTAATCGTCTTGTTCATTCGTAAAAACTAACTTTTTTCTGAAAACCTTTGTTTTTTGTTTGTTTGCATATAAAAATAAAATATTTGATTACCCTTGGTACTAGGGCTGGGCGTTCGGTGGCCCAATAGGTTTCGGTTCGGTTGATTCGGATTTTCGGATTTTCGGTACTGTGCTCATAAGTACCATTCGGTTTTTACTAATAATCGGATCGGGTTCGGTTCGGTTCCTTCCGGATTCGGTTCGGATCGGATTATAACCAATGTCTAAAATCGTCCAAAAATATATTTTTAAAACCTAAAAATTTGACAAAATAGTATTCAAAATATGTAAATTATTCACAAGTATACTTAAAAATTAGTTAAACTATCTAAATTAGCTAAGATATATTCAAAATAACATATAACATAGACTATGAAAATATTTAGAATATTATAAACTATCTAAATTACCTTAACATATATAAAAATATTAACATATTGAACTAATTTCGGATACCTTCGGATCCTACTTCGGATTTTGGTTCGGTTCGGGTTATAACCAAAGTCCGAAGTACTAGGCTCATAAGTCCCATTCGGTTAGTTTTGTATAATGGTTTAGATCCGGGTTCAGTTTTTTCGGTTCGGGTTTAGGTCGGTACTTCGGGTTGGGGTAAAAAAGCCCAGGCCTGTGGTTTTTTTGGTGAAAGATGTTCCTTGGTACTGTGTTATTTACTGAACTTTATTAGTTGGATCTGCTTTATTTGACTCTTGATGCAACTCAACATTTCACCACGTACAGAATTTCCTCATTTTAATATTATGTTGTTCTGACAATAATAATAATTTTACACTATTAAAAATACAAAGCCTGTAACAAAACAAAAATGTTATGATTGACAAATTACTTGTTTAGTTTCGAAGAAGATATAAACGTATCTCGTAGTTGTCGTTGATTCTTTAATCCACACTTATATATTCTACAACTTGTTCTTAATTAACCAATTTTTATTTTAAAACATAAGAAACAAATATCGTGGTGAGTTTATGATTATAAATAATGTAATTATTGAATTTCTGATTTTCTGACATCCACAAAAGACCAAAGACATTGTCGTCCATGTCTTTGTCCTTCCCTTACCATAATATAAATGACACTGAGAACTATTACAACACCGTACCAGAAAAAAAAAATTAACTTTATAAATAATCTTTCTTGATTGTTCCATTTAACGTGTTTCTTTTTCTTTGGAGCATTAAATGGATTCTGATTATTTTCTCTCTCGCTTCATTAGCTAACTCTTCTTCTTCGTTTGGTGCTACGTCAGCTTTTCAGACAATACGTCATCTCTACGGCGTCTCTTAGCCACTGGAAAGGTCTCCCTCTATCTATCTATATCTCTCGTTTACACATCTGATTTGAATCTGATAGTTTTGTGAGGAATCAAGAATGTTTAAACAAAGAGGGTGAAGAGTAATCTGTTGTTGGATTTTGCCTTTTAGGTCTTTTATATTTAATAGTATATCTTAAGCAAAAGTATGTTCATAAAGTTCTCAGACTGTGATAGATTTTTTTATTTTCTTGTTAGATTTCCCTGAAAAAGCAAAAGAGGGAGAATCTTGGAGTCTTGCAACTTGTTTTTCATTTCCTTATTAAGAAATAACTCTAAATGTGTTTTCTATAAAGAGAAACTTAATTTCCCCTAAGAGTCAAATTCATATATATATTTTGAGTTTTATCTCAAAAGATAACCATTGATAAATCTCAGAAGCTTGTTTCAGTGGAATTCCATGTCAGACTTATGAATATTTTGCTAACTTCAGCATAATTTTTTTTTTCTAAATCATTTAGATTCTCTGTACCATGACTCATCTTCTTACCTTTTAAGTTTAAACCTCTGTTTGGTATTATTTTTTTGGATTTTATATTATGTCCCTCTAAAAACTCTCTGTTCTTCTTTGTTCAAACAGATTCAAGATCATCTTACTCACTGTTGCTTGATATTTTCATCATCCGGTGTAATTAAGAATGGGACATTTTTCGTCCATGTTTAGTGGATTAGCTCGATCCTTTTCGATCAAGAAAGTGAAGAACAACAATGGAACTAGCGACGCTAGGGAAGCTGCTGATGAGATGGTGAAAGATGCCAAGAAGCAGGAGATGATTCTTAAATCATGTGGTTACCTTTATGCAGAAGGTTCTAATAACTCAGCCTCTGTTTTCTCTAAACGCGGCCAAAAAGGCGTTAACCAGGACTGTGCAATCGTTTGGGAGGTATATTACAACGTTACTAACCTTTTTCCCCGTTTTAAATATTTATGCGTTTGCGTTTGTGTTGTTAGACTGCTTGGTTTAGATTCATGTCATCATGCTATGCTATTTTACCACGTTTTGAGTATGATAATAGCTTAGTTTGTATTTAACACTATATTAAAAAAAAGAATAATAAAAAATATTAATAGCTTAGTTTGTGTAAAAAGAAGAGTGTTAATAGCTTAGCATTTTTATAATTTATCATTGGTAAATAGGGATTTGGGTGCCAAGAAGACATGATATTCTGCGGAATATTCGATGGACATGGTCCATGGGGTCACTATGTAGCCAAACATGTAAGAAACTCAATGCCTTCGTCGCTTCTATGCAACTGGCAAAAGACTCTTGCTCAAACCACACTACTAGATCCCGAGCTAGACCTTGAAGGCTCCAAGAAGCAACTCTCGAGATTCGACATATGGAAACGTTCGTATCTCAAGACATGTGCATCTGTTGATCAAGAACTTGAACATCACCGCAAGATCGATTCTTACAACAGTGGCTCAACCGCTATAACCATTGTCAGACAGGTAAAACAAAAAAAAGAACTAGTGATGCACTCTGAGTTAAAATGTTTTTGAATCAAATAAATATAACATTTCATTAAAAAAACATAAACGATTAATAGTTCCTAATTATTAATAAAAAATGTTTTTGATCAAATGGTTTCCTGTTGTATGTAGGGTGATGTTATTTATGTATCAAACGTAGGCGATTCAAGAGCAGTACTAGCCACGACTTCGGATGAAGGAAGCTTGGTTGCTGTTCAGCTAACCCTCGATTTTAAACCGAATCTGCCTCGTTAGTTCTCTTAATCCTTCTTGCACTTACCTTACTAGATCTTGAAAAAGATATGAATATTATGGATCTAGTAAGTTCTTGAATCTTGATTCTTGTGTTTGTTTTGGTGTGGAAAAAAATAGAGGAGAAAGAGAGAATTATCGGGTGCAATGGGCGTGTATTCTGTATGAAAGATGAGCCAGGAGTTCACCGTGTATGGCAACCAGACACAGAAGCTCCGGGGCTGGCTATGTCAAGAGCGTTTGGAGACTACTGTATAAAAGAATATGGATTGGTCTCGGTCCCTGAAGTCACTCAAAGGCATATCTCTGCTAAAGACCACTTCATCATCTTGGCTAGTGATGGGGTAAAATATCTATGAACCTTGAAAACAAACTCTCAATACTCATTCATTCACATTCCACACACACTTAAAATACTCATTTTTTAAATGCCAAATGTGAGACGGAAGAAAGCATTTGAAAAAATGTACTGTTTTGGTTTGAGTTTTTGATTTTATAAAATATATAGCCACAAGTAAAAAAAATCAAATTTATAACCGGCTTGGATGTCTCATTTCGGTTTTGGTTTTTAATTAAATGGATTTTGAAGTTCAAAATAATATAAATTTCAGTTTCTGGCTTTTCGGATATTCAAATAAAATCTTTGAGACAGCAATAGACCAACCTACTTCAGATTTTTTAAGTTTCAAATAAACTTTTTTTTGATCTGTTTGAATTGAATTGTTATTCTAATTGTACACTCCTAATTTCGTTTATTTATTGGTAAATGTATTGACCAAATTGTTTTTTTTTTCTGCTTTTGGTTTGAATATAAAAGATATGGGATGTGATCACAAACCAAGAAGCTATAGAGATTGTTTCTTCGACCGCTGAGCGGCCAAAGGCGGCTAAGCGATTAGTGGAGCAAGCGGTTCGGGCTTGGAAGAAGAAGAGACGAGGAATCGCAATGGATGATATGTCCGTGGTCTGCCTCTTCCTCCATTCCTCTTCTTCGTCGCCATCTCTCACTCTCTCACAAGACTTTCAACATGCCACGACTTTTAAGTAAAAAGTTGCGTTGTAAATAGGCCAGAGATAGCTTTGCGTTTGTAACATTCATTATGAAATTCCAAAAAACGTTTTTTCTTTGTCGTAGCCATAATGAGTTGATTCATAAGTTTCATCGTGCGTGATTGAGTTATAAGCTGACAAAAATATTGAAATCAAAGAGCTCAAGAACACATAGATGTATAAAACGATTTTTTGTTTTATATCTTTTCTTATAAGATCATCTTACACTTAAATCTTTTTGTATAGAAGTAATAGATGTCTTATCTTTAACCTATTACACTTTGATCTAGGAACTTAACTTAAACCTAGACCTATTAATATTTAGTTCTTCAATCTTTCATTTTATGAATAATTTGTTGTTTGAGTCTTCTTTAAACTTATCCAACATTCTCCTTTCTAAGTTGCAAGCCATTTTCACTAAGTTTTGAACTTTGGTCAACTCTCTCATATCTTTGAATTCCTTGCTAGAGCTTTAGTTAGAATGTCTGCTCTCTATTCTGTTCCAGGTACATGCTCCACGTGAATTTCTTCTTGTTCAATTCGTTCTCGAATGAAATTAAACCTTTTGTGGATGTGTTTACTTCTTCAATGAAACACAAGATTCTTAGCCAATGCAATAGCTGATTTGTTGTCAACTCGAATCGGTGTCTTACCCTTATTCTCGTGATCTCACTTAACAAGTCTTGTAGCCAAATAGCTTGTTTAGCAGCTTCAGTTGCAACCATGAATTATGTTTCACAAGAGGATAGAGCCACTGTGTCTTGCTTTTGAGAACACCAAGTAATTGGCGTTTCTCCGAGACAAAACAAATATCCTGTTGTACTTCTTCCATCATCAGGATCAGTGTTGTAGCTACTATCACTGTAACCTACAAGCTTCTTAGATTCACCTTGCTTGAACGCTAATCCACACCCAACCATTCCTTTTAAGTATCTTAACATTTGTTTGAGAACATTACCGTGTGAAGCTCTTGGAGAGTGCATGTACCTGATTAAGATACCAACAGAGAATGCCATATCAGGCCTTGTGTGCATAAAATATTTGAGACAGCCGATTCTTCTTCGATAAATTGTTGCATTAATCTCTGGTTCGTCCAATCCTTTAGAGATTTGTAGACCAAACTCCATTGGTATACTTGCTGGATTGCAGTCTTCCATATCAGCCTCCTTCAGTATATTCTTTGCATAGGCTTCTTGATTTATCATAGTGCAGCCTGAACTCTGTTTTACTTCTAACCCAAGATAATAGGTTAATAAACCCAAATCTGACATCTTATAGTTCTTCGACATATCCTTCTTGAAGTCTTTGATCTTTTAATAGAATTTCCAGTAATTGAAAGATCATCAACATATATATCCACGATGAGTAGCCTACCTCCGTCTTCTTTTTGATACACAAAGATTTTTTTTGAACACCTTTTGAATCCCAGTCGCTTGAGTATCTGATCAAGCTTTGTGTTCCAAGCACGGGGATCTTGCCTTATTCCATACAAAGCCTTTGAAAACCTTATGTTCTTCTCCCTTCTTTTCAAACCCTTATGGCTGTGAAACATAGACATCCTCATTCAACTCTCCATGTAAGAAATCTGTTTTGACGTCTAAGTGATGTATCTCCTATTTATTTGCAGCAGCCAAACCAATAAGCAGTCTTATTGTCTCTAGTCTAGCTACCGGTTCAAATACTTCATCAAAGTCAATTCCATGCTCTTGTACATAACCTTTTTCCACAAGACGTGCTTTGAATATGTTGATTGATCCATCTGCATTCTTTTTTTACCTTAAATACCCACTTGAGGCCGATGATTTTGACTCCAGCTGGCTTGTCTACTAATAGCCAAGTATTTTTCTTGTTGATAGAGTCAATCTCATCTTTACAGGCATTAGTCCATCGAATGTTCTTCTTTGCTTCTTGAACGTTTAGTTGCTCATCATTCATTAAGAGAAGTAGTATCTCACACTCTATCTCAGCAAGCAAGATGTAATCATTAAGATATTTAGGTTGACTTGTTTGACGTGTGGAGCGTCTTGGAGGGCTTCACTCTCTTCATTGTTTTCATCAGTGTTTGAAGGTTCTTCAACATCTTGATGATCAGTTTCTGCTGCAATATTTTCTTCTTGATGAGAGCCTATAACAAACGGTCCAATGCCCTCATCTAGACTTTATCCATACGTCATTTTAAACATTCCAGACTCTGTTTCTTTTTCTTTATCTGCTCCCTTTCAATTCCAGCAGTTCTTCTCATCAAAAATTACATCATGACTCACAACTATCCTCTTAGTGCTAGGATTGTATAGTCGATAAGCTTTTGAGCCGGGTTCAATACCTAAGTGGACAAGGTATTGTTGGAATTGTGAAAGCTCATGTCCAACTCTTTATTATCCGATTAGTACGATATTGTCCATTTTGGGCATGACCCGCATGAATTTACTTTTGGTTTTCTTCCCAAAAAGCCTCGTACTAATAGAGTTGGATTTCTCTTTCTATACTAGAATTTCTTTTATCTAACTTCCGATGTGGGGCTTTGTTTATTATTTCACTTTCATCTCATGTACTTTGTCCGTTAGCGAATCGTCTAGCTCCACTTTGTACCAGTAATCACATGGCTTCCTTTAAGAATGCTTTTCCAACAACATCACATGTTTTATGATCCTCTGACTAGTTCTATCACAAAATCTCCTTTTCTTACTTGAAAGATCCCTATTTTTATTTAAAGGGTATTGTGGTCTTCTTGCAGATTTCTCGTCAAACCACCTTGATACCAAATATTGAAATCAAAGAACTCAAGAACACATGATGTATAAAACGATTGCTTTGTTTTATATATCTTCTTAACTTTCTTATATCTTTTCTTATAAAATCATCTTACACTTAGATCTCTATATATAGAGGTAATAGATGTCTTATCTTTAACCTATTACACTTTGATCTAGAAACTTAACTTAAATCTAAATTTATTATTTAGTTGTTCAACCTTTCATTTTATGAATAACTTGTTGTCTAAGTCTTCTTTGAAGCTTAACCAACAAAAAATAATTGGAAGAATGAAGAAACTATAAAACAACATTTCCTTTCAATATATAACATATATTGATAAAACAACAAATGTAAATAGACGTTGACTCTTAAAACAAATATTGTGATATCAAACGGTTAGTACAAAACATACGCGGTTACTAAAATGGAATAGTCAAACATATAGACCATAATATTTGAGGTGATTGATGTGTATATGTAGGTTCTTATTCTTTGTTTTGGAAGACAATGAACTCATCTTTGCATTTGATGTCATCATATGAGGAAATCTAAGCTCAATAAAATGCGATCATCCTCATACAGTTCGTCTGGCCTATATAAAATGAGAGATGACGGTTTATTCAACCGGCTCATTCTATCGTACTGCATACAGTGAACTAACGGTTTATAGGTTTGCCTCTAGAAAGTAAGATAATCACTATATATTTAAATATCTTAATGAATGTACATTTTCTGACGTCAGACAATACTGATGTTTTTATATTTATGATATTTTAACAAATGACAGCCAGTATGCTATTTCTAACAATGCGCTGGAGACAGGAAATATTCATGGAATATACAGTTTAAGTAATCTAATATTAATATATTACAGAAAGTTTAATTAAATTTTCTTTTTGACTATTATGTATGATTTATTATATTAAGTTATTTGTGAACACCTTTAACTATATTTTCATTATATCTGAAAATAAAAAGTAGTAACAAATGTATATATTATCAGAAGTACAATATATTGTTCAAATTTATATGTGTGATGGGATATATGTGTACTCTACATATTTTAATCAAACATAAAAAAAAAATCTAGAAGAAGTTTTGAAAGAAATAAATATGTAAAATTAGATTTATTTAATGGTATTGGTGATAAGACACAATAAATATGTAAGATTAGATTTATTTAATGGTATTGGTGATAAAAATGAAAAACAATCAATGTTGTTCTCTGAAATAGTATTTAGAAACTTATATATTATTTGTCTTATTTTTCAATGAAAAATTAATTCTTGTAAGTATATAATTTATTAAGATAAATTACTGACGTCATCCACTGTAATTAGAGATTTGACAATACACACATAATTATTGGCCATTATGATAAAAATAACCTCAGCAGCTAAAATAGCTAGATAATATACAAACATTTATGTGTTTAAAAAAAAGTGTTTTACAAAAACCCAAACATTTGAATTTATATTCCAAAAATGAATAGCGAACTGTATTAGTATTGATTAAGTCAATTTTCGATTCTTCTTTTATTATAATTACATGAAATCGCTTATGTTCTTTTGCTCTTCTTTTTCGGTCAAACTGTATTGCATCTTTTCATAGATTTATATGATGTTATACAATCTGTTTTTTCTTACGTATACTAACCAGTATTTACATTAATCAACATTAAGTACGTAATATTTGGTGATACTGAATTATTTGGTTAGTCATTCACTCAAAGGAATATATTTCTGATAACATATGAATAGCTTTTCTACATTGATATAGCCTGCAAATATTGATACACATACGTACATGTACATTATTATATGGCGTGGTAATTCATTTGATTTAATATATGCTTTATGTATATGATAAGAGATATATTCTTAACTTGAATGCTCTAGCACATTTTTATTATCATAAATAATAGTACAAAGAAAGGACAATTTGAAACAAAATACATAAGCAATTACGATTCTTTTAATTTGAGAAGGTAGGAATACCTCTAGAGAGACAAATCAAGCCCCCAATCTTTAGAATCATTGATGCTGGAACTGTTTTCCCCGAAGTTTGGGACAAGATCTGCTGAGTAATGGTCACGACTTCCAATGGTTGAAACGAGATCTTTTGTGTAAATCTCAGGAATGTTAGCATTACCATTACCACGAACAAGTCTTGGCGATAAATCACGTAAAAATGAGGTTGAAGTAGGTGAAGGAGATTCTTCAGTATTCATGACTATACAGCCGTGCTCAGGACTATAACGAATTTTCTTAAACAATGGCTGTATATTTTGTTTGCGGTTAGGAAAATCGAATAAACTAACCCTAGTACGAGTGTTGTCGAATGAAGAGTCATTTAAAGATTGAGAAGCGTTTGGGAACTTAGAAATGTTCAAGTACAGATTAAGGTAGAAGAGGCTAGGATTCTCAGGCTCCCTCTCTTTGCGTTTCATCTCCATCTCTCTTTTGTGTGATCACAAGTTTTTTTTTTGGCTTAGTTTGTGAGAGAACTCTATCTTGTAAGAACTCTATCTTTAGTCAGACTCCCTAACACCACTAGTTTGGTTAATATGCACATATGATGTCAGAAACACTGTCATATTTATATAGTGGCAAGAAGTTAACTGTCTTAATTAAGTTTTTATTATTGGGAGAGCTTATCTCTAGTACTTAAGGTATGATATTCTTATGGGTTGACAAATACATTAATGTCCTGAAACTAGAAACAATTATTTTCAAATTATATGGGAACAAATAAGTTCCATTATTTAACTTTCTTCTTAATTGATATATTATGTGCTTTTATTGCTTTCATAATGTTTGGTAAAAAAATGTACAGCAAATAAATACTCATCAATTGTTTAATTATTACTCCCTCTGTTTTATTATAAGTGTCACTCTATAGCTGTGCACACGGATTAAGGAAACAATTAATTTTATATATTTCCTATATAAAAACACAGTTACCTATACACCTAACCATATTTTAACCAATAGAAAAATTAGTTACATAATAAAATTAATAAATTTTACATTGAAAACTGAAAACGACACTTATTTTGTAACGCAAAAAATTCTCTACAATGACACTTAATATGAAACGGAGGGAGTATTAAAATGAGTCATAAAATTGATTATGATACATGCATGTAATATGTGTCATTTGGGATAGAAAACATACCAAAATACAGTGAAACCTCTATAAATTAATAATGATGGGACTAAACCAAAACTATAACTTTTTATTAATTTATAGAGATTATTAATTTATCGATATATTAACTAAATCAAAAACTCAGTTTGAGACTATAAAATTATATTGTTTTATAGAGATTTTTAGTATATATTAATTTATAGATTACTAAATTTAAAGAGTTTATACTATACCTTATTTGAAAATATTAGAGAGACGGAAAAAATGGAATGACGTAAAATATAATATTAATATTATATGACATGATTTTGGATTAAAATAATTACAGACTTCGGTCCATAATAATTTTTGGTATTAAAAAGAAAACCAAATTTAATTAAATTTAATAAAGATTAGAAAAATAAGAACCCCAAATTAACTTTTGTTAATAAAAATGATTTGTTGGAAAACATATATCAAAATTTTCATTAAATGTAACCAAGATTCAGATATGTATTTAATACTTTTGTTGTTAGGTTTCTGATTTCTTTATGCATTAAACATAAATTTTCTCACAAAATTATAAGAAATTTCAAGTTGCTGCATGAAGAATCATTTTTAGTAGTCGTTTGTTGCTGAGAGATTTTTTTTTTAATCAAAATGTACGTAGAACCGTTTTGTCGATTTGAGTGTTATGGAGAGAGATATGTCATGAAATCTTTTTTTTTTGTAAAGATACGTCATGAAATGTTGTTTGTATTGTTTATCAATATTACATTTTATAAGTAGTTTATCAATATTTGTAATAAAATAAAAAATATATGATGATGTATCTAGCTAGTATTAAAAATATTATAAATTTTCTTGAGGTAGTCAAATTACGTTTGGAGAGTCTAATTAATAATTATTATAACACAACTTTTTTTTTTATCTTTTTATTATTGGAAGTTACCCATTTTTATTAAATATATGAAATTAGGTGTTTTATTCGCATGTGTTGGATTGAATAGTTTTACAAATATTTAGAAGTAGAGCCAACAAATATTAAAATAAATATTTGCCACTAAAATAATTTAATAGTCATACGTTCAAAATCTTTAAAAATAAATTAAGCAACATTTTTTATGGAAATTTTTAGTATAATAAAATTATATTTTATTACATGAATTAAACTTGAAACACTCATGTATACATAAAACTATATACGAAATATATATGAAGGGATTAAAAGACAGATTTTATGATGCAAAATACTTTTTGGATAATAAAATATAAATAATTTGTTATAATACTAGTTAGCAAATCAAGGAAATTTGTTTTAAATTTATAGTAATTATATATTAATAAAATCTAAGATTCATTAATGTTAATAAATACTTCATAATATAATATAAACTATTTTTCGATTATGATAATTATCAAATGAATGATATACATATATGGATTTATCTTTATTTTTCTACAAATATTATAAACTAAATTTTTAGATAAATCAATATAAATTACTTTAAGGTTTTGTTAATTATAAAATTTGTTTTAATAATGGTTAATTATATATTAGCAAATTAATTATTCATTAAAGGTATAAATGATACTAACCTTTATAACTTTTAATGTGAGAGTTTTGTTAAAAGTGAGTGGATTTACATGTTAAAAGTGGCCTTCTTAAAGCCTTTTTCAGTGGGTTGGGTTGAATGTGCCTGAGCCTCTTTTCAGTGAAATTATATGGGTCATTCTCACATGTAAAATGCAACATGGACAACAATATTTTTTAATCATTACTTCCTCTTTTTCACAGTGTTACTTGTTTTAGAAAAAAAAATATCATAAAAACATATTTTTATATTTTTAATGCATACTTTATCAATTAATAATTAATAATTTTAATTTTTCTAAAAATTAATTATACTTATTAAATTTATTGATTTAGATTTATGGGCAAAAAATTAATCACAAATATTATAAAAATTTCTTTGTTTTATTAATATGTGTAAAAAACTAAAATATATATCATATAGAAACAGAGAGAATATTTAATTTTTAATTTTATATTTTAAACAAACGACTTAAAAATAAATATAGAAACATAAATGTTATGAATGTTACGCATCTTATGGTGAGGACGGGCATTTGTTCCATAATTAAATGTCTAATTTTTTTTTATTATTAGGGTTCAATCAGTGTCTCACGGACAATAAGCAAATGAACGACATAATATAAATATATTTTAAATATTCAATATTTTTAACTTAAAGTAACTAAGTTCGCTATCCCCTCCCACATTTTTTAATTATTCCTTTTTATAATTATCATATAATTTTTTATGTATAATATTAAAATGCATAAACTTGTAAATATTTACCTTTTTCAATATTTTAGACTTGAATTTTGATAATAATTAGAATAAACTAGGTAAAACTGTATTAGATGTACATCATAAAGACATATTACTAATTTTTACTGCTTATAAATATACATGTTTGTTTAAATCATGTTTCTGTATTAATAAAAGAAATAAACCATATTGTTCGGATAAATAATTAACACTATTAAAATAATGATACTCATTCATTTCCAAAATAGAATTTATACAAGATTTAGTTATATATATTTGAATTATTTTATATTGATAAAATTTATATTTTCTTATTAAAAATATATTTTTATTAAATTAATATATTAATTTAGTATTATGATTGAACATATCTGTAATGTTAAATATAATTTTACATCTGAATTAAATAACATTTATTCTCCAACTTAACTCTTAAATATAAGATTTTTAAAAATATATATTACGGTTACTAACTTCAGTAGTTATGTTAATTCTCTTAAATAGAAAATTTTAAATTTATCATAAATATATTAATACAACAAAAGTTTTTAGTTATGTTAATTCTAATAAATGATGCTGTATTTTGTGATTTATGATATTGACAAATTACTTTGTAGCATTTTTAATTCTTCGCATGCATGTAACTTATAAAGGATGATAAATAACATTTCATACTTATTTAAACAATACATATATATATATATATTTTAAAATTATCAAAATTACATATTAAAATGATGTGATATATACATATAGATGACGATATTTATTATTGAGTTTATATACCTTCCTAACAATGTTTTAAACTTATGAAGAATTTTAAATCTAGATATATTTATATAGTCAAATATCTTAATTATATTAAAATTTATAATTGATTTAATAAATATTAATGGATTAATAGATTTTATAAAGACTACATCAATCGGTTTAATACATTCTTAAAAAAAAATTACTAATTTAAAAGATGCAAAATAGCTGATTCATTAGAGAAATTACTTTAAGTTACATAGGCAGCATTAACACCTAAAACTAACTGTTACTCCTTATAAATATATTGTTTAAATATTGTATCTGTCATATATATTTGGAAACTAAATATACTATGTTATCCGAATAATAATTAAGATTTTTCAAACAAAGGATACTAATTAATTTCAAAGCAGAATTTTATATGATTTAATTATATATATGTGATTAATTTTATATTAACAATTACTTATATCTTTTTACTAACTACAAATAATCGTTTTTAGATATTATATATTTTTATTTTATTAAACTTATGTAATTTATATATAAAATGTTAAATTGATATTTTACTACATCTTAATTAAATAGAAAATTTTCTCAAGCTTATCTATAGTAGAAATAAAAATATTAACTTATCATAAATATATTAATATAAATAAATTTATTAGTTATGCTCTTTTTAGTAAATGATGCTGTATGTATTGGCTTATCATAAATATATTAATAAACAAAATTTGTTAGTTTTATTATTGTTAATAAATGATGCTTTATTTTTGGTTTATGAATGGATTAAAAACTTTGTATTATTAATTTATTTATATGTAACTTATAAATTTTGATAAAAATATTTCCATATTATTTTAAACCAATTTTTATATATTTAATTCCTTTAATCTCTTGAAATTAAATATTATAATGATTTGATACACATAGATGATGATGATATTTATTATTGAATTATCTATCTTCCAAAAAAATGTTTTCAAGTTC